AAAAAAAAATCCGCAACTTCACAAAAAAAAATTAAGTAACGGCACGTTACAACCCACGTAACGGCACGTTACAACCCGCATAACGGCTTTAACGACCCCTCAGCGGGTAATCACGAGGGGTAATTTTCACCCCCGTGATCGCGGGCGTCGTGAGAACTTTCCCCCCGACCCGAGAGGGTCGGATTCCCTGACCCCTCACTCTCTCTCTCATACACCCTTCATACACCTCTCATACATATCATCGTGGTCAGCATTTATTCTCACACAGCACGACGGTGGGAACAATAACAGCGGAAGACTTTTGAGCTCCGATTTTTAAACACGAATAAAATCTTCCCTTTTTTCTCTCTCTCTCTGTGACTAGACCGATGCAGGAAGTGCACGCCGAGATATCACAAGAAGCTGCACGTCGCAAAAATTTTTTGCACAAACTTGCAAAAATTCTGCACATTCTTTTGCCAATTCGTATCACAGCGTATCTTGCTTCACTTTCCCACGCTCGATCGATCATCACCGCGGCTTCTTCTTCGTCTGCCGCGAGAGTTTCCTCTGCTTGAGGATCATCTCGTAGAGGGCCTCGAGGCCCTCGTCGAGGCCCTCCCCGATGATGGCACAGGCGGGCTGGACGTGGTAGAGATGCTGCTGGAGCTCCTGGAGGCCCATCAGCTTCTCGATCTCGTTCTTGTCGCGGGCGCCGGGGAGGTCCTGCTTGTTGGCGAGGACGAGGATCGGGACGCCGATGTTCTCGGGGCTCTTGGCGGTGCGTTGGAGTTCCAGGCGCGCCTCCTCCATGCGTTCCGTGTCGACACTGTCGAGGACGAACACGATGCCGTCGGTGCATCGGGTGTAACTTTTCCACAGGGGGCGGAGTTTCTCCTGGCCCCCGACGTCCCAGACGATGAAACTCGTCCCTTTCGCTTTTCCGGTCGTCCCTTTGATCTTTTCGCAGTTGAAGCCGATCGTCGGGACCGTGTTCATGTACTGGTCGAACTTGAGGCGGTACAGGGCCGTCGTCTTGCCGGCGGAGTCGAGGCCGAGCATCACGATGTGCAGGCTGCCTTCGCCCACCGGCAGCACATCGAGGAGGGAACTGCCTTTTCCCATGCTGGTTCCCATGGGTGGCCACTCAGGTCATGTTTCCACTGCGGATTTCCCAGCGCGAGGAGCGACGCACTCTCCACGGCGGCTGGAGCTGGACTGGAGGAAAACCCGGGGAGACGCATCGATCAACACAGCTGAAGCTGCCCGCGCATGCGCAGTGCCTTCCCGTTCAACATGTGCGACCTTCTTCGCGGAGACTCGGGGAGTCTTCCCCCCCCCCCCCCCCCCCCCC